TGCTTAGGTATTTATTTTTTTTACTTACTGAACACATGTGACAAGTTAATAACTTTGTTCTTGACATCCCTTTTACCTACAGTGAGTAGTACCCCTTTGTATTAGTCTATCAGCTGCTTTTTTCTTCATTTTGAGTGTGGTACAGTACTGGGACACAAGAATTAATCTCTCAGAAAAATAATGGATGGGGATGTCTTCAACAAAAAGGAGATTTTCTTTCATATATTTGTGTTGTTTCTATATATATATATAAGTTGTATCAGTTAAGGCATGGAAATGTTGGGTATCACACTGCACAAGACTAATTCAGAGCTCTAATATACTTCACAGTAGCATGGGGCTGATATTTCTATGATACCCTTCCTTCCCTTGAATGCACAAGTACTGTGTTTAAGTGTTGCATTACTATGAAAATTATTAATTACTGCTATATTGTATTCAGTTTGAAGTAAAAAATAAATAATTTTACAGTTTCATATTGAAAATGTACATTGTCATTGAGATGTACCAGACACAATCTATAGTTTCTTTTGACATGTAAATGGGAGTATCTTTTTACTGTTTCTTTCCCAGCGATGTTGTACTTTATCTCATCATCGAATGCACCTGAGCTTTGTTCCAACAGTTAAAACTTAAAGTGCCTGTGAAAATCAGAGGCTTGTGAATAAACCACGTCAAAGCTGAAACAGCTTGACCAAAATGAAAAATGTAGTGAAATGAAAACCTTTTGCCACATTTTAAAAATGCTTTCAAAGAGGGCTGCGGCTTCGCCTCCTGTGCTATGACGAATTAGACAATAATTTTTACTTTTTTTTTCATTTACCCTGAAATTGATAAGAGACACAACTGCATCATTAGTTAGCTATAAATAACTCTCATAATTTCATGTGGTCTAACAGTCTACCACATCCTGTTTCAGTGGCTTGTAATGTTTCAAGGGGAGAGAGCCCTTATCTCAAGATTCAAAAGGTAGAGTCAAATTACTACCCATGGAACTGACAAGTGTGCATGTTTTGTTTAGTTTTTTTTTTCATTTTTATTTTTGTCAGTGGAAATGTTGAAGGCGAAAATGGAAAGTATTAGTTGATAAAGAAAAACACTGTGGTTGAGATGTAGGTGTCAATGTTCAAAGCCAGAGAACAAAAAAAAAAGGCAAACTTACCATGACTCACAAACAATAGCGGTTACAGAGCTCCTTCGCTTAAAAATAACTTTTTTTTTCTATTTTTCATGTACCTCCCATTTATCAAAAAGAAGATATAATTCCTCAAAGTCAAAAGTATGCAGCAATAAATACTACAGCAGTGTTTAAGTATAGATTGAATGAATTAAAATAACTGAGCGGCTCCTGCTGTTATATAATAGAATGTCTAAAAATAAATTTTGCAGGTAAATTCTGGTTTGGCAAAAGACAGTCATGTTAATAGTAAACACAACTTTGGCTCTATTTTTATTTTTCCACAAAGATTTCCACACATTTTCACCCAGGAAGAGACTGCTAAAAGGAATGTTGTTCTCCTCTGTTACAGAGTGTAGCTGTATGTGATTTGTAGTTTGCAGCTTTTGTTGTGGTTTTGCTTCTCAAAATAGCATAGAAAAGAGCTCAGACCGTATTAAGAAAGTGTAGGAAAAATAGGCATCAACAGTGGGGATCTACAGTAAGTCTGATCTTCATTTTTATTTTCTCTAGAAAAACATATACTTTAAGCTTGTTTTAAGCACATTGTGTTGTCTTGTTCACAAATATGAATCTGTAACCTGAATTGGCCCTATGTTAGTAGTCTATAAGACGCTATGAGTCCTTCTCCTATAAATGCAGACTTTTTAGCTTTGTTTCAAACCTTCACATGTAGGCCATTGGTTTCATGGGAGAAAAAAAATGTGACCATCTGGATTTTTTTAATGCAATTATTGATGACAAATATGGCTGTTATGATTATAATATAACATTTCTAGAACATTTTAAGCTAGACACATTTTATGGAATATTTTTTTATGGAATATGAATTTAATTCATATCCCATACTGTCATATGATGGTTTTAATTCCCATTTTATTGGAAGTGTGAATTAATCTGGAGGGCACTTTATTGAAAGCACCAAGGAAAGTGAAGTTTGCTATTTTGTTACACTTTTGGTTTACAGGCATAATTTTTGCAAGTTTAGTATAACTGTTAAAAGGACAGCAATCTTGTATGTGATGATTAAGTAACGTGGGTGACTATTGCAATAGCCAGACAAGCACTGTGTTTTTTGGGAGGTTTTTTTTTTTGTCTGAACTCTCAAAAGAAACAAGGCAGGTGCACTCAGTTAATTTCCCTTCTGACATAATTCCCTAAAACAGATGAATCTGTCTCAGTTTAGTAAACCACAGGATCCAACAGCAGGAAGATATACAGTAGATGTGAGATGTATAGATACAGTACCTGTATGTTTGAAAGTAGTCAATACACATGTTCCTTTCCTCATTAAATGACATAAAAAGCATTCCTTCTTGTACAGTATTTTTATGGGCTAGCTAGTAAGAGCATGAACATGGTTTTGCACCATAAATTGCACCACAGCCTGGCCCAGGTTTTGTCTTAAGTATTTCTGTCAGTATGGTATTGACACTGACACAGCAGATCACGGTTTTCTTGATGCAAAATGTATTGCAGAGCTCTCATGAGGACTGATTTTCCAAAAAGACAATTAACCTGTCAGTATGTCTTTCAACTGTGGGAAGAAATCTAAGCGTACATGTACAAACTCATAGATAACATACAAACTCCATGCAGAGAGCACCCCAGGTCCAGAATTGAACTCTGGGCCCCAGCCCTGTGAGGCAGCAATGTAAAACACTGTGCCACCATGCTGTCTTAATAGACGTGTATTTTTAGGGAATTTTGAAAGTTCAGACACTATATTTATTCAGACACCAGGCTTCACATTATTAAATTATGGATTTAAAGTTGAGTGTGTTTTGCATAAATTATCTGGGAAAATGATAAAATAAAGAAATACAGTTTCAGGTGTTGTTTTTTTTCTAGAGTGTACAGGTTTCCAGGTTCTACAGTGCTGCAACAGCAAATTGTTAATTGTTATACATAACTACATATTTACTTTCCCAAATGTGATCTTCATGCAGTTGAACTTTGTGTCTTCAGACTGTTTTTCCTTTCTCATATGGTGTAAAACAACAAATCCGTGTAGTCACACGTGAAACAGTATTTTTATTTCACCAGCCTTCCTTGGAGCTCCAGTTTTGAGACTTTCCGCATACAGTATGTTCATGTTGTCTTAGCCTTCTTGCTCTGAGAAACAAAAGCAGATTAGGCAGCTTGGTCTGTGCTACGTGGAGAAAGACACTTCCTCCTTTGACTCCGTGAGGCTGAATGCTTGCTGAACATTCTAGATGGGCTTCTCAGACAAGGAGCTGCCTAGGATGTGATATCTTCCTTTTATCAGAAGGACCATAGATGTCCTGCTGTTTATTTAGCTCCAGCTGGTCCTTGCCATGTTCAGTCATTTCCTTTTCATCTGCCAAAGAACACAGCTGATAAAAGGATGCAGTTTGGAGTGTGGGAACCGTGTGGGGTTGACATTTTGCAGGGAAATGGGAAAGGCAAGAGCATGAAGCATCTCTAAGGAAATCATAGACCATGTTATTTCTCATTGCCTCATAATGTCAGATAGCTTTTGTTTTTTGACTCTTTACCTCTGCTCTAATTAGAATCTCTATTTTAAGAAAATGCTTAGCAGTACAATATGTAGACGGACAAATCTCTGATTTCAGAAGTGCTTATCAAAGTGTTTAATCTCAGAACGCGTCTTGAAAAACTGCTGGTGACACATTCAATTTGTTTTTTTTTTCTGTGGCACCAGAATTTTATATTTTAATTAATGTTTTTAGGTGGTTATCATTTATTTACTTTAAGCTGATCGGAGCGACAATATCATTAAGCAAACTATCCATCCATCCTTTCAACAGAAATAAGGCAATTTTGAATTAATTCATGGTTTGATTTGTCCAAATATTACTGTATCAGGATAAGAATTTGTTGGGTGTTTCCAGATCATTTTATCTTGGTGCTTGTGCTCATTGTCTGAAAAAGACTATTCCAGTAAATGAGGAAATTGATGTCTGATTAAATTATGTTTCAGGTGGAAATATTGGAGTATCCCAATATTGTAATGTCATTGTTGTTGAGATGCAGAATCCTAAAATAAATGCATTGTTTTTATTGTGAATGTTAAAATAAAGGTGCCATTATTCTGAAATGGTACAACATACTAGCACAGAAATATCCAGAAATAAAAGGTGACATTCTGTACTTTTGCTTCATATTCATCTTTTCATATCAAATCTGAATTGCCTTAGTATACTGCAAAAACTGCAATTTTGACTTCACTGTCTCAATGCTTATGGAGGGTACTAAATGTTCCTCTTCGGTCATGAAAGATGAACACTACCTGTTTCAATTCAAACCACTGTTTTTATGCCACATCAGGAAAAGCAAAACCTTTGAAACTGAACAGAATGGATATTATTATGTTGGGTTTTTGTATGCCTACTGACCTGATCATTAGGAACACCATGTTCCAATGAATAAATGCTGTCAGTGACATGCAGTGTGCTGCTGGCTTTGTGGAGAATGGAGGAGATGTCCATTACCCTACCTGACAACAGCTATTCCCACATCCAAGTTCTATTAAAGACTGGTGAAATGGGAAGTTTAGTCACACATATAATGCCATTGCTCTTTGTCAATGGTACTGTATGTGGGACTGAACTGCACTGCAGCCTCAACTTAAGGAAATCCTGCAAGAGGAAGAGGATCAGATTGGGCTGCAAATATTTCAGAATCTTGCAGAATCCATGCCATGTGTTGTTTGTCATTTTACCAGCCTACTATCAGTGTAATTATATTCATTTAACATCTTTTGCTCTTAATATTTTGGTACACAAGACTACCTGTAACCTGTTATTATTCTTGTTTCCTCCTTTTGTTTTTTCCATAGTAAATGAGATAATAAGGAATGACCTCTCCAGCATTTCTGTCCATGGCCATGCATAGCTGTGTGGGATCTCCACCAACCGGACTCTTAGCACAGTCAGCTTGGAGGCAGGAGGACAGGACAACATTTCGAAGCACAGCTTTCACAGCAACAAGGGACTGATATCTCCCATACCCGTGACTGAAGAATCAAATTTCCAAACAATTCACAAATGACATTTACTGTGTCTGTGGAGAAGGTATTTTGGCCTGACAAGTTTCCCCTCCATTGCAGTGTCAATGTCAATGAATGTCAATGAAGGCCTTAACTCCAAGAAACAACAACAATAAAAAAAAACAGAATACCCATTGCCTTAAAAATAATGATCTTCCAAGGACCAAGAACTCTATCATTTTATTGTAAAATGAACTTTTTGTACATATAGAAGGTTTGGCTTAACCATCTAAACAAGAGAAAGCAATGTCCAGTCTTAAGTGATGCTAGCTTCCAGGCTGTCAGTGCCCGGCATGGATTTGGCTGTAACTTGTACTAAAGAGGAACAGCCAAGGACGTGCCTTATATTATACCCAAGCCAAGAAGCACGTTCTCTAGTTTTTTGTCCTTTTTTTAAGTTACATAAGTATTTTTATCTGATGTTTACAGAGAGAAAAAGCTGGAAACAAATTGTATGGATTGTAGTTATGTTGCCTTTGTTTCGCAACCCTGTTGTACTTTGAAAGCAAAACGAAAAAGGAAAAAAAAAACTTTCACGTAATTCATACATTACGTTCCTTAATCTATGCCTTAGCCCTTATTGCAAAAGCCAAGCATCTTCAGCTGTTGGATGTCCTTTGTTTTTACTCTAATTAAATGACCCACATTGCTGTGCAGTACACTACAGTTTTCAGTTCCTGACTGGGGCCAAAAGATATTTCTGTCAGGTTTGTTGTGAGAAACTTCTCAAACCAAGTGCTGGAAGTGACACGTTAGAGAAACCAAAAATAACTGATAAATAAGCCAGCAGGCAGCAACACTAAGCGGAGCTCAAATTATTTGCCTTCACAGTCAGTTCATCACTGAGTTCATGCTGCTGTCTGTGCAGTAGACATACATATTACACACATCACAGAACAGCTTTAATTGTTTTTTACTATATCAAGGTAAATATAGGTTATTTCATAATGCCATTCGTATCAGGGACATATTTACAAATTCTTAAATATTTCTCTTTTTATGTTCTCTTTTGTTCACTATGAATGCAGTAAGCAGTTCTATGGTGTTTTTAGGATTCAGCAAACACACATACACATACTCTACATACACCCCCAGAAAATGAAGACTATAGACTATTTCAATAATGAACCCCCCAAAAACCCTTCAGTATCTTTGCTGTTAAAAACATTTTTAGATTGCATTTTTCTTTTCATCATTTTGCCTCAGGCAGTGGTGATGTGATAGTGTACTTGCCTATGAGGGTGACTAAAAGGGATTTACTAAGAAATCACAAAAGAATGTGTGCGGGCTCCGTGCACAATGCCTTTTTTGTGAGTATAAATGCAGTTAAGATGTGTGCATGTAAATACATCATTAAACTATGTTAGAGACAATCATTGTTTGCCTTCCTGAAAGAAACAAGGACAAGCTGGCAATAACAGATCTGGATACCAAAGCATTTTAAATTGAGTGGAATTATTACTCAAGCTTTAAATATTGCCTGATCTTAGATGCTCGTCGTAGTTAGGTATGCTTCTCCAAGCCCTTAAGAATATATGCACTTTACATAGCAGAAGCAAACTTTGTGTTGGGGTCTGCGTTGTAACGACCAAATTGTGTCCATGAACCACCAAAAAAGCTGACTATATGAATCAAAATTAACTGCAAGATCTCTTCATGGTTTTCATAAAAATTTTTCAGCAAAGCTGTTGTACATTATAGATGTCTAGCTTCATAGAGCATGCAGTAATTATGCTTTTTATAGCTTAACTTAATATACCATTAATAGCTAATTATATACTAAGGATTGAATTTCCTACTTGTAGAGTATGTTGTAGCATGATTTAATACAAGAGATACAGTTATATATTGTGCCTTATCCATCATTGTCTCAACTAGACATGATTGCAACTGTATCATGCTCGATCAGGCACACAGTGAAATGTATTTCCTTTTAAATATTAAATATTTATAGGAAAAGGGTGTTTTATGTATACATGGTGACTTAAAAATGCTAAAAATAAAAGCCATATTGTTAATATTTGCACATTACTGTGAAGACAAGAATATAGTATGGCTTTAAACATATGTGTAGGGGTTTTACAAAGCAACTTGTATGGTTTGTGTTAATCCTAGCTGTTTTATATCACTGTCTTTGCTACATGATATCATCCATAGATATCTCATATTTCTTCTACAAACGTTCTGCTTAACAGCCCAGATGATTCAGAGCAATGCTAGCTCCAATATTATCCTCCAGATTCCGATCCCAGACAACACATATACTCAACAGTGGCATGCAGACTTTCCTTGAACCTTGACATTTTCCATCCAAAGCAATTGTATCGAACTAATTACTAAAAAAAAAAAATTTCTGGTGCATGTTGAACTTATTCTTTTCCATATGACTGCATTTTAGTTGTAAAGATGTATATTCAAATAACTATAGTATCTTTTTAGTGTCCAACTGACCAAGTCCACTTTAAGTAGAATGACCCTGTCATTATGTCATACTGTATGTTGCCTTGTCTGACATAAAGAGGAGGAGATTCAAATGTACAGCAGATCCATTTTTCAGTTTTTTTGTATAAAGCCATTTTCTACTTAAGCTTTCAATAATTCTGGTTATTTTTTAAACAGACTCAAGCACAAAATTCTCAATGCTTACTGACTCCCTGTGTTTTAAAAGTAAAACTGTATCGACTATGTTACTGCAAAAGTCTGGTGAAATCTTACAAATTGAGTCTTCCACGCCTTCCAGAATGCAAACGATGCCACATTTCAAAACAAATTGTGCTTTTTATCGGTATTTGAAAATGAAGGTGGCTGGTCATTGTGACTATGACACCTTCCTGTTTCTAATGAGACTGGGAGGTGCTGGTAAATGTAGCTGGTCAACACTTTCCAGAATGCCATTTGTCCTGTGTCCCCACCTGCTGTTTCTCCAAACATTTCCCCTATCCAAAATTCCAAATCCGCCATCTCCATGGTGATAAAGAGTAGCCTGGGTGGGGTCATCCTGCTCCTTTGCGCTCTCTCTCTCTGAATGGCCTTTCTATTTAAAGATCAGGTCACACCCCTTTTCTCACACATTTCCTTGACCCCTTTCCTGTCAAGGTTGTTCAGATATTTAAATGTTAAGGTGATTACCTCTGACACATGTAATGTTTTCAAAATAATCTGTTGTTCTTTTTTTGTTTGATCGTTAATGTTTTGTGTGTATATACAAATAAAGAAGCCCAAATAATAAAATGTACTGTTGTGTTTTGTCTCCCATGACTACCCGGTGCTCAGGAACTAAGTCACTTATGATCCCCTGTGATAAGAGGTGAAGCTAAATGAGTCTAAATGAGTGCATAAATCACAGTGAAGAAGCATTTTCAGTCTAATTTTAAAGCTGAAACTTTAAGATGGGCTCTTCTGGTCTCTCAATTTCGAAGGCACTGCACTGTGTTTACATACAGTACTCTGGCTGTGATGGTACATTTCGATACAAATGCTATTCATCTGTGAATGATAATATACTGTATAAAAAAAAATTCAGGTGGCTCCTGAGTGGCTCATTCAGTTAAAGTGTTCAGTTACAGTCCAGGTTGAGCCCTGTCATCCAGAAGTTGCCACCTGGAGCCTGAGATAGCATAACAGGTCTCCTGCACTGAGCCAGTTACAGAAATGACATCGATCTCTTCTGAAATGTAGACCATGCCATGCCAGAGGACTAGACTTTTAGTGTGGCAGGGTTATCTGCAAATTACGGAGTGCCGCAGTGCAAGCTTGGAGCCCACAGGTGAATAGGATTGAAGCCCAGCAGGGACAGGTCTTCTCCAGGGGGTGGCATGCAACTGGCTGAGCACTGCCCCATTTGGTGGTATGGTTGGTAACCCACAGGTTGCTGGTAGAGCTGTATATTTGTGAGCAGCCAATCAATTTAAAAAGGGTGGGATCAATTTGGGAGGCGGGTGGGATCCATGAAAGCCCACACTAGCAAGACAGACTCCACACAGATAGGACCCGAGGCCAAAATTATACCCAGAACCCTGAAGCAGTGAGGCAGTAGAACTACCCATAATGTCACCATGGCCTGCACTCAAAACACTGGCTTCTTCCATTGTCCCTGTCAAGAAGCAACTTTGAATACCATGCCCTGAGTAGAACTAATTTGGTACTGAAACTAAGTTTCCTTGGTATTCTGTAATTCTTAACCTTTCTAATGCACTACAATAGAGATATATTCTACATAGTGTAGCTGTACAGCTGTGTAGCAGTACAAAGATTCAGACTAGGTTTTCTTATAGTTCTTTACTGTACAGTATATCCCTTAAGAACAGGGGTTATTCTGAAGGTGCTTTATTCCCCAGATCAAGTAAAGGCATTAATTCTGCTCCCGAGGGAGCGGAATCCAATACCTTTAGATTCGGATGTGGATCCAGCCGCATGAAAAAAAACAGTTTTTCACCTTAACAAATTATATATACTGTATATTTTAAATATGATGCCACAATGCAAATTCTGTACGCATCCTTAACCAGAGAGTGAAACTTTTCAGTGAAAGCCTGCAAAACAGATCTGAGAGGTTGGAGGGAGTAAGGAAGAGAAAGAGTTGAGCCTGTTTTTGCCTGAATATTAAGACATGTGGCCATGAGGGCACATGGGGAAGAATAAGAGAAGTGTCCACCATGCATAACAGTGAATTTATTGAAACTAATGAAGTGCATTTAGATACATCCTGCTGGAGTCTGGAGCAGTGGTTAGGGCTCTGGGCTTGGAAAAAAATGTTATCACTCCCTCTCTCACAAGAGAGAGAGACAACTGCTCCACCATCCACTCATCAGGTGCTCCTGTTCTCCTGGAAGTATTCCAGGGCAGTTGAAAAGGATTGCACAATGATTTGCAGATACTGACAAGGCTGAAATCAGCCCACAATCACCAAGTTATATATTATTGTTAAATAATAAAATGGGTGAATTATTGACTGAAAAGGCAGTGGCTATTTCCTTTTTCTTTTGCATTTTTCTCACAATGTCTTGCCCAGAGAGATGCTCATTGGCATTAAAAAGATATTTCCAAGGACAGCATCCTTACAGTTTGAGAAAAGATGTGTGACAGATGTTTTTTATTTAGCTAGGGAAAAGACCTGGATTTTTAACCCTATTTAGGATTTTAACAAATTTTGCATTACTGGACACAAAGAA